CTTTTATAATATTGCGACCGAGGTGTGTTACTTGCAATCGTGTGCCATTACACAGTCTTGGTGAATCTAAATTCCGCATCAAAATGACAGGAACTCCTACTTTCAGCCTCAGTTTGTGTGAAGGTACTCCCAACAGTTCTAAAGAATTGAGAAATTCTACAGGGTATGATGTCCACAGAATCTCCATGTGTTGACCAGAGAGGGAAAAACAAGGAACATAGTTTACAAAAATGTACTACAGTAATACGTTAATAAAAACAAGAAAGGAAGCTAGCTTCGGCAAGCCGAAGCTTATATACCCTTGCAGTCGTCAAATATGTTGAAAAAAATACATAACGGCTAAACAACATCGAAGCTAAGACGATTTTTCTATTCATTTTCCATATTTTCGACTATAGATCATATGGGAGCTATATGATATAGTTGTCCGATTTTCATCAAATTTAATTCGTAATTCAAGAGTCGTTAGAAAACTTTAAATTTAAAAAATCATGCTTATCAAATAAAAACCAACGATGTTATAATTTTATTTCTATATAGATTTTTCGATCTTTCCTATGGCAGCTATAAGATATAGTTGTCCGATTTTTTATGAAACTTTTTCTCAATATAAGGGTTGTTAAAAAACTTGATGTTCAAAAAATCATGCTCGTGGGATAGAAAACAACGATGCTATCAATTTATTTCTATTAATTCTATATATATTTTTCGATCTCTCCTATGGCAGCTATATGATAGAGTTATCCGATTTTGTTCAAATTTAATCCGAAATTCAATAACAGTTAGAAAACGCCATCTTGAAGAATTCAAGTCGATTTGATCAAAAACAACAGAGTGAGAATTTTTTATTTCATTCTCTTGTATTGGAGCTATCCGATATAGTCGGCCGATCCGGCTCGTTCCGACTTATATACTGCGTGCAACAACTACACAACTTTTGGGAAAGTTTCAGCACGATAGCTTTAAAACTGAGAGACTAGTTTGCGCGGAAACGGACAGACGGACAGATGGACAGACGGACAGACGGACAGACGGACAGACGTACATACGGATTTCAATTCTGCTCGTGATGCTGATCAAGAATATATATACTTTATGGGGTCTGAGGTGTCTCCTTCACTGCGTTGCAAACTTCTGACTGAAATTATAATACCCTTTTTGCTCTGCAAGGGTATAAAAAAGGAAATATTAAAAAAAAACCCGGGCGAAGCTGGAACGGGCAGCTAAAAATATGATAATATCTAATAATTATTCATTAAGAAATTCCGTGTTTTCCAATTTGGAAGCCTTGTTATATAGTTCTTGAAGCATTCGCTCAGTATTTTTATACCCTTGCAGAGCAAAAGGGTATTATAATTTCAGTCAGAAGTTTGCAACGCAGTGAAGGAGACACCTCAGACCCCATAAAGTATATATATTCTTGATCAGCATCACGAGCAGAATTGAAATCCGTCTGTACGTCTGTCCGTCTGTCCGTCTGTCCATCTGTCCGTCTGTCCGTCTGTCCGTTTCCGCGCAAACTAGTCTCTCAGTTTTAAAGCTATCGTGCTGAAACTTTCCCAAAAGTTGTGTAGTTGTTGCACGCAGTATATAAGTCGGAACGAGCCGGATCGGCCGACTATATCGGATAGCTCCAATACAAGAGAATGAAATAAAAAATTCTCACTCTGTTGTTTTTGATCAGATCGACTTGATTTCTTCAAGATGGCGTTTTCTAACTGTTATTGAATTTCGGATTAAATTTGAACAAAATCGGATAACTCTATCATATAGCTGCCATAGGAGAGATCGAAAATTATATATAGAATTAATGGAAATAAATTGATAACATCGTTGTTTTTTTATCCTACGAGCATGATTTTTTGAATATCAAGTTTTTTAACAACGATATAAAATTGAGAAAAAGTCGGTCATCTATATCTTATAGCTGCCATAGGAAGGATCGAAAAATCTATATAGAAATAATAGAAATAAAATTATAACATCGTTGTTTTTATCAGACAAGCATGATTTTTGGAATATAGAGTTTTCTTACGACTCTTGAATTACGAATTAAATTTGATCAAAATCGGACAACTATATCATATAGCTCCCATATGATCTATAGTCGAAAATATGGAAAATGAATAGAAAAATCGTCTTAGCTTCGATGTTGTTTAGCCTTTATGCATTTTGATCGACATATTTGATGACTGCAAGCTTGCCGAAGCTAGCTTCCTTTCTTTTTTTTTTAAGTTTTAGTAATTTTTTCTCCTCGGCCAAATCCCGCCTTAAGCGACGGCAATCCACGGCGGTTATCGCCTCAACATCCGCCTTGAAAACAGCGGGGGCGTGGCTATCGACAACCCAGCCAGCGGAAGCCGCATCTTGAGTCCCAAAGAGATCCCGGCACTTCGCATACACCTTGACCATCCATTCCTGGCACTCCGGCCTGTTTTCATCAGCTATACAAATGGGATTCATATCTAATCGGATGTTTCCTTCACTATAAACATTATTCGAAATCGCTTTATTCACATTTGACAAAACTAACAAATGCATAGAGATGAGTAGAATAACATAGTTTTATACCCTTCTACATATATAAACATTAATTAATGGAACAAAAATTATAACAATTGTTTTAAATCATAGAAGATTGATTTTTGGAAGAAATTGTATCATTTAGATGGAATAGAACATTCCGAATTTGACTAACAAAACGTTCAAATAGTCAGTGTTTTAAAGCCTTGCCATCTTGCTCAACATTTGTGATGTTAGCAAGGGTTTTGTTGTTGTTTATTTCACTTATACAACCGCTTGTTAATTGGATCCTTGGCCTTATCATCATTTCACTTGCGAACGCACTTGTTACACCCCGATGGATAGAGTAATATTTTATATTCAGCCAACTGCAATTTAAAATGTTTAAATATAAGAAGTAAATAGATTTTCAATGAACTTTATTACCTCGATCCACATTGTTTTCCCCAATTTCCTATATCAAAGAAAACGCAATAGCGTTGAGAATTGCCTCGATCAAGTGTGGTGAATTTCTTGCTCTCAAAGGAAGAAAATAAGCGATGTGTTAGTGTGCCAGAATGTTTTCCCAAAGACTTTATCGCATACGATTCCTTCTCGCTGCCAATAGTAAAGTTATTGTAGTACAAATAATCAGTGTGTTCATGAGCTCCTTTGATGTAAAGTTCGTGGGGTCGTTTATAGGTCGCGAGATACACATTTTCGAGTCCAACAAAAAAATTCATCATTAGGGTTTCCATATCCGTTTTTATAATCACTCCAGCTAAGATTGAAGTTTTCGGGACCGTCGAATTGCCTATAAATTGTCATCCAGCCTGTTGAAAAGCCGGTTCCAGTGTTTTGATTGCACATCGAATCGGAATTTTCTGCACTGTTCTTTAAGTTTTTGAATTCTTGTCGAACCTTATTCAATTCAGTTATGACATTAATCTGATCTGTTTCGTTTTTTATTTGATCATTACACGTTTTGATTGTGTTTTTTTGCGACTAATAATTCTTTTTCCAGTTTCTTAGCAGTTTCTGTCAGCGAAGTTTGTTTAAACCTGAGCAGCTTTATTTGACCATCCTTATTAATCAGTTGTTGAGTAATATTCTTAATTTCATCATTTTTATGACTCGAAATCAAATAGTTTGTGTTGATATCATCGTAAGCATCTTGTAACTTGACCTGCAATTTCGAGTTATTGGTTGTCAACGCGTCAAATTTTTTGTTCAGTTCCGCGTTGGTAAATTCTGGCGTAATCGACGACCAACAATACGCATTGCACTGGTCTTTGGTGAAGTGAGACTCGTCTTTATTATTTAACACGATCTTTATTTCTTTAAGAGTATCTGCAACTAGAAGTGGTGCTCTCTCCCAGAGTAAACAGGCCAAAAAGAGAACGAAAAGGCTCGAATTCATTATGCGCGTTGAAACGTAAACCGTTCACAATCTACTCAAGACTGAACTAAGCTCTACAATTTTGAAACACACTCCTCGGGGTTTTGCCAAAATTTCTCCGTGATAAGAAATACATAGAGCACCTTATCAGCTGACTTAAAGCCTGCAAAACCTTTGTTGATACTAAAATTGATACGATAACTAATTGTGAAAATCAAAACAAACTTGAATCGGGCTTAAGCCTTAATGGTGGTTGTATAAATTAAGGATATTTTTTTCTCTAAGTTTTTAGGAATTTTTTCTTACAAAGCGACACTTGGCGCTTCCGGTATAAATGGATAGGGGAATATCCAAAATTCTCTGCCTCCCCCCGGTGTAAGATTCGTACCTCGATACCGCCACCTAGCGGTATTTTTAAACATCTCCAATTTCGCCTGGAGTTATTTTTTTGTTCCTTCTTAAAAAGAAAAAAATTCAATATAAAATATAAAAATAATATAAAAAACATAAAAAGTACAACAAATTTTTATTGTGTTGTTCATTCATGTTATTAAATGTTCTATAAATATTATATAATATGTATTATACATGCGAAGGGTTGTTTGTAGTGACTTGGCTAAATTCAATTTTTATTTATTTTTTAAGTTTTAGAAATTTTTTTAACTATGGATGCCTTGTTATATTCATAGTTCTTTAAGCCCTCCCCCTCGTCTTTCTCGACCAATTCCCGCCTTAAGCGACGGCAGTCCACGGCGGTCATCGCCTCAACATCCGCCTTGAAAACAGCGGGAGCGTGGCTATCGACAATAAAAAGTCTTGAGTCCCAAAGAGATCCCGGCTTTTCGCATACACCTTGACCATCCATTCCTGGCACTCCGGCCTGTTTACATTAGCTATACAAACGGGATTCATATATTATCGGATGATTCCTTCACTATAAACATTATTCGAAATCGCTTTATTCACATTTGACAAAACTAACAAATGCATGGAGATGAGTAGATGCAAATAGATCTTATACTCTTCCAGGAGTATTTTACTTATTTGTGATGTCAGCAAGGGAATTGTTTTTGTTGATTTCATTTATACAACCGCTGGTTAATTGGATCTTTGGCCTTATCATCATTTCAGTTTTGAAAAAAAACTTTGCAAACTGATATTGTGTCTTATTCTCAACGTACCGAAAAATTCGATATTCAGCCAACTGCAATTTAAAATGTTTAATTATAACAAGCGAATAGATTTTCATTGAACCTTATTACCTTAAACTACATTGTCCAAGCTGCCCCAGGATTATTGAAATGGCACGGATAAAGTATTGAGAATTTCTTCGATCAAATGTGGAAAACTCCTTATTTTTATATGGAGAATAGATGTCTGGTTCTGTACCAGAATATGTTCCCAAAGACTTTAGCGGATACGATTCCTTCTCGCTGCCAATAGTAAAGTTATCGTAATACCAGTATCTAACTTTATCATTTCCTTCTAATTTGATGTAAAGTTCGTGGGGTCGTTCATAGGTTGCGAGATACAATTTTTCGAGTCCAACAAAGAATTCCTTATTAGGGTTTCCAAATCCGTTTTTATAATCACTCCAGCTACGATTGAAGTTTTCGGGACCCATCTCGAATTGTCTAAAAATTGTCATCCAGCCTGTTGAAAAGCCGGTTCCAGTGTTTTGATTGCACATTGATTCGGATTTTTCTGCACTGCTTTTTAATTTTTTGATTTCTTGTTGAACCTTATTCAATTCAGTTATGACATTGATCTGATCAGTTTCGTTTTTTTATTTGAGCATTAAACTTTTCGATTGTTTCTTTTGCAACTGCTAATTCTTTTTCCAGTTTCTCAACAGTTTCTGTCAGCGAAGTTTCGTTATCCCTGAGCAGCTCAATTTGACCATCCTTATCTTTCAGTTGTTGAGTAATAGTCTTGATTTCTTCATTTTTAAAATGCACATTCAAAGAGTTGATCTTGATATCACCGACAGCGTCTGATAACTTGACCTCCAATTTCGTGTTATTGGTTGTCAACGCGTCTATTTTCTTTATCAGTTCCGCGTTGTTATTAAGTGCTGGCATCATCGACGACCAACAATGCGCATTGCACTGGTCTTTGGTAAAGTGGGACTCCTCTTTATTATCGAACTGGATCTTTATTTCTTTAAGAGTATCTGCAACTAGAAGTGGTGTTCTCTCCCAGAGCACACAGGCCAAAAAGAGAATGAAGTGGCTCGACTTCATTATGCGCGTTTAAATCGTTTGACAATCTACTCAAGACTGAACTGAGCTCTACAATTTCGAAACACACTCCTCGGGTTTTTGGGTTCGGGTTTGTATATAGAGAACCTAGAGCACCTTATCAGCTGACTTAAAAGTTGCAAAACCTTTGTTGATACTTAAACTGATGTGATAACTCATTGTGAAACCCAAAACAAACTTGAATCGCGCTTGAGCTACCGTTGAAAACTATATAAATTTAGAATATTTTTTTCTTTTTTCAGGAATTCTTTACTTACAAAGCGACACCTGGCGCTTCCCGGATAACTGGCTCCACCTAGGGACAGATCCAAAACTCGCTGGCTCCGCCTTTTGTAAGATTGGCACTTCTTTACCGCCACCTAGCGGTATTTTTACTCATCTTCAATTTCGCCTGGCGTTATTTTTTTGTTCCTTCTTGAAAAAGACAAACGTGTACAACTTGATATATAAACTATAAATAATATAAAAATTTGATAATATTTAATAATTATTTATTTAGAAATTCCGTATTTTCCAATTTGGAAGCTTTGTTATATAGTTCTTGAAGCACTCGCTCAGTATTTTTCGTTTTAAAATAAGATACATGTTTAAAACTACATCTTGTGCTGTTGGCTACAAATGTTGCAATGAAGCAGCAACATATTTATTTATTCTGTGTTGCTGTGCCCGAAAAACGTTTGTGTTGCATGCAACTTTTGTGTATGAAGCCACTTGTATGTTGCTAGCAACTTTTAGGTTGCGAGCTCCGCTTTTGTTGCAGACACAGTTTGCTGGGGAAACTCACCACACCGTGCAACATGTGCTTGTGTGCAACATGTTTGCCATTAAATTTCACTCAAACTCGAAGGGGAAAGCCTCGACAAAGTTGCAGCAGCATGATGCTGTGTTGCCAATGGCTCACCATCGGAACTTAAATCTGCGCATGGCAACACAAACCGAGTCCTGTGGGTTTTCGTATCGAACTCCAATTGGACGGAACAGTCGTCCTTTGCTTGGACTGTCGGCATGTTTAACATGTTTAACTTTGGATCTTGGTAGCAAGATTATTTGAATAGGCTGGCTTTTAAGGACTAACTGATGACGTGTCGAAAAGCAGCAGAAATGTTAATTAGCCGCATTTGTTTGTCTACCGCAGCTTCTTGACCATCTCCCCCGCAGCTTTCTAATTGGTTATTTGTTTTTTACTTGACTCCACGATTAAATAATAACCTTCAGCAGTTTGCCAATACATTTTATTTTTTTTTTAACCTATCACATATTATTATAGTAGTTCAATATCCTTTTGAGATAAATAGAAACTATCTTATAATATAAGAATAATATACATTATATATGTATATGTATTATATGTATAATTTATTTATTATTAATATTATTATTTTTATTCATTTTCTATTCTATATTTTATTACAGTCAAGTTCTCTTTAATTTTACTGAAGAATTACATTGATCAAAATAAGTGCTTAGATATTTAAATTTGACCCATGAACTTAGTTCTTTTTTCGGGCCAAGCAAATCCGTATGAAGCATTCTTATCTTAGTCGTTATTATGCCAACTGAAGTTTACATTTCAAATCTACTCGCCGTCACTTTCGCTTCTTGGGTCACGTTCGACTGGTGGGATCCTGCCCCATCGACTTTGCGTGGCCTTCAATGCTGCAAAGTTATCATTTCAGCCTCCCGAAAGTCCTCCCAAAGTTCTATACTTTCTGCTCGGCTTCAGTTGGCGCCATTTATCTGGCGGTTCTTCATGGAGGTATGGGGGAAAAAAAAACAACTGAGAAGAGCAGAGGAAAAAATTGGGTTATGCCTTTGCCGTTGAAGAAAAGTGAAATTAGCATAAAGTTGCTTCTTTCTCCTTCAGTTTTGTGTACTTTTTATTTGCTACCGTTGCCTTCGCTGGGTTAACTTTTTGCAACGTTGTTTGCCGTCTTTTTGCATTTTGTTTGTAATATCTTGGGTGTCGTACTCTCCATGGGCGTTGGTCCTTCTGGCCAATCAACTGGGTGGCAAACGCTTACGGCATTAGTCTTTCTTGTTCAGTTTTTCGGGTCGCATTGTCTAATTCTGCATTAAAATATGCAAATATTTAAGGGGAAAGGTAGTGCGGCAAGGGGACTCTGAAGTGGCATTGAAAAGGTAATCTCTCAGAGAACTTGAAAAACTTGTAAAAAGTTTTAATGGGGACTTTATGAATTAACTACTTTATTTTCGGACCTTTGAGTAATTCTACTAATTGCTCTAATTTATTTAATAATAAATCATACTTTGAAATCGGAAAACTTCAAGCTGGCAATACGAACAATAACACACACACACACACACACACACACACACACACACACACACACACAAAAGTTGCGCTTGCTAAATGTAAATTCAATGGGAATTGTTAATGGCACACAGAGAGACACACAATCAAAATGATTGCATGTAATTTATTAATGCCTTGTGCGGCACAATTTGTTTCCCAAAGTATGTGAAATGGATTTACCGCCCTGATAAGGCAGATATATACAAGGATTGGCTTTAACATTTATTCACTTGTTCCTGCATACAGCTTTAGTTAAAGATGGCAGCATATTGGGAGACTAATTAAAACTGAACGCTAAATGTAAAAGTTTAAATGGAAATCCACGGGAGGGATTTATACTAATCAATTTATAGAATAGAATACATTTATGGTTATTTAAAGATATATAGTTTTAAATTTAAATATTCTTTTTGTCTTTGCAATTTAGGTTTCTATATTTTTAGCAGATAAAGTTAATACCCTCTCCTTCCATTTAATCGCACCCATGTAATTAAGTGGTGGCCCTACTACGTGTTTGTTTACATTCAAGAGAGGTATTTTGAAATGCACGGGCCAGCCATCAATCAGCCCTAATTGAAACAAGTCGCTTTGATATGCCACTCACGTTCAATATCAATTAATGCCACAATGAACTTATACATTTTTAATAACCACCCACCCACACACACACATTTGATTCGCAGACAAGCGATTGCGATGAAATGTTAAATGGATTAATAATTAATTGCCCATTTTTTTCTACCAAACTTTGGCTGGTGGAAAGCCCTCGAACTAATGTCGATGTGGATTCTTTGGAAACTTCCTTTCGGGCGAGAGGCGGTTGAAGGACTCCTCAGGAGCTCAGGCCAATTGCCAAGTTAAACTCTAAACAAATTTAATTGAAAAACTTTTGCGTTTCTCCCATGCCAATGGTCAGAATTTTAGCCGGGAGGGAGGAGGGTCCTGGGGATCTTGGACTTCTGCGAAAGGATACAAGTGCATATGCAATTGTTGGCCCTTGAAGTTGCAGCTTCTGTTATTATTTTTTATTACTATTATTATTATTATTTCGCCTTCTTGCATTTGGCATTGGCTTGCTTGTCGCGATTCACTTGAGACCCGTTTAGCATTTGGACCTGGCCTTCTGTGCTGCTGGCTCCCCGGCTGAAATTTTCCTTATTTAATTATTTGCTAGATGTTTTTTGGCCAAGAGTCACCAACGAGCTGCGAAAAGTTTGTCGGCCGTTGCCGAAATTGAAATTATAACTTTTGACTACTTTCTGTTGCATCTTGGCTCACAACGGTTGCTGGTAGTTGAGTTCCAGTTTAAACATCTTGGAATTTTTTCAATAAAAACAACAACTAATTTAACTTAAAGATCGTTGAGTTCAATAAACTTTATTTAATATTATTAACTAAATTAATTTACTCAAACAAACATGATTGAAGCTTAAGTTTTTTTTTTGTCGCCTTCATGAATTATTTTTTTATATAATCCATATTCTTTCTTTTTACAATCCAAGGACATTTGCAGTCGGAGATAGTTCCGATATGAAAACGGAGATGAATTGTGGCTATTCAGCTATATAATGTCCTTAAGAAATGCATGCATGAGTTTGCCTGTCTTAAGCTATGGATTTATTTGAAAACTCAAGGATCGACTGGCGAGAAAGGACGCTTCCTCTTACAAGTGTCACAGTGTGCGAGTGTGTTTTTTTTTTTTTTTTTTTTTTTTTTTTTTTTTAGTCCACATGGACGTTGGCGTACCGCAGTACACTCAAGTGGCCCTTGTGAAACCAGGACTGCGCCTGTTTATTGCACATATTACTGCCCCCCGGTACAACCGTTTGGTATTACCTCGGGGGGAGTATAGCCTTAGAGGCTCCTTCTGTTGGCTTGTTCCTCGCTCCTCAGCTCCTTCATGACGCTATTCGCCATTTTTGCAGCTGCCTCCCAATTTGAGACGCTTGTCAGCATGTTGGCGACCAGGTTCTCTGGTACCAACGGCTCGCCGCACTGTCTTTGTAGCTCATCCCTCTGTCTGCTGAACCTTGGGCAGGTAAAGATGACGTGCTCAGCATCTTCTGGACAACTAGTGCCACATCTTGGGCAGAACGGGTCTTCCGCGTGCCCGAATCGGTGGAGGTACGCTCTGAAACAGCCGTGGCCGCTCAGGAACTGAGTCAGGTAATAGTTTACCTGCCCAT